TGTCGCAAAGTCTCCACACGGATAGAAGAGCTGACCTTGGCCAATATCAAGGCAAAATTGAAAATGAACTGATGAAGACTCAGTCTGTGTTTAGTAAACACGTTATTCTGCAATTTGTTGAAATTAGTAGAGAGGATTGAATAGGTGCAAAACTAAGTCCATCTCAGACAGTTAAACTTCTGCATTGGAGAAGATTCTTTGCGAATCCAATGAAAGAACGATTATTGTTGTTTTCTGGAAGATTGGAAGTGCTCCTATCCAGTAAACTAGCCAAGTGCTTGAAATGGAAGGAGCTGATTTAAGTGATAATCTATGAATGCGAAACATTAGTCTTAAGCCTCAAAGTTATTCATAAATTGGATACTGTGAAATACTGCGTAAAAGATGCCTGTTGGGAACTACAAGGATGAATGGGCGAACGCAGAAACCAGGGTCTGGGATGCCATTGCAAGAGCGAATAAGTTGAAATAAGCAATGGGCAATGGCAAAGGCAAGAACACGTTGTAGTAGAGCCGACCCCCGCATGACCAAAAGCGCAATTGACTGGGTTCCAGGAATCAGTGAACGGCCAGCAGGAAAATCTCGATATCGAAGGCACAGTGAGCTGAAGAAATTTATTTAAGCAATGTGAATTGAAACAGCAGATGACAAGTTTGTACTGAAGGCTTGGATGCCTTCATCGAACAATGGGTAAATATAGGCTGAGGCAAATGATTAATAGACTTGGCATTGTCAGAAATCGAGGGTAAGTTACACCAATCAGTCATATGACGAATACAACAACCATCATGTCGTCATAAGTGGTAATTCGCCATGACTAAATATACTTGTAGAAGGATGGATGATGACAGTTAGATATCCAGATTATGTAGATTAAAATGAGCATAGTTTTCTGTGCGATACTTTTCGATCCACCACTGTATGATACCTTCTCAACAGGTAGCCATTAAATTCTGTCTCTGGCATCTCAGTTCGAATCATTTCATTAGCTCATCAAGGTATAGAACTGCGGCGTCTATTCAAGTCTTCCAACGCGCTTTTTCCTTCCTCGTTGCATCTTCCATAAAATCTTTGTCATTCCCTAATGTTCGGTGTTTGTAATGGCGTGACTATCCCATGGTCATTTCAGTTTCTTTGCTCTTTAGATGGTTACATTAAATATCATTTATCCATTCATTCGTTTTCTCATTTTCTCTGTGTATTTTTCCCACAACACCTGTGCTGCTCAGTTACGCTGCTGTAATTTTTGAGAAACTGTTACGCATCCTCATGGTCTCCGTTTCACAGTATCGACAGGTTAGCACTGGTCAAAAAATTTTGCCTTATTCACAAAGAGTGTTTTTCTTGATTAGGAACGTTCTTCAGTTTCTAGAAAATTGCCACGTCATTTTTGTTCTTCTCCTTCTAGAGTTTGCTCTCTGTTGGGAACCGAGGAAAAGTAAGTTATTTTTCACATCTGTAGTCCTAAAGCCTGAGTCCGTTGATTTGAACAGATTGACTGAGAGGCGAATCTTGTTTAGATTTATTTTCAACATGGCTTGATGGCGCCATCGTTCTAGCGTCGGATTCTTAATTTCAATTTTCTTGCAGATGTTTTGAACTCTTCTTTCCCGCTATTCGGTAGATGCTATGAAGATGAAGCTGATCTGTTTATCTTGAATCTCTGATGTTCCAGTTTCAGTGTCTTGTTCATAACTCTTGCAGCTGAAAGAATGCCATCGTTGATATTTTATCACCTGACAGGTTTTTGATTCGAATTTACTAGAGCTTTTCTGAAACTCAGTACCATTTGTTGCCCTTCTTGAGGATCAAGACAATGAAATATCTTTACGGTATTCAGATTCTCTGGTTCCTCAGAGGATTACGTGCAAACTATTTATAAAAGAATTGGAAGTATTCTCGAAATCAACTAGTCGAAGACAGAGGAGAGGAAGATATTCATTTATCTGTGACTTGAAGGTGATTCACGACTGAATCCCTTTTGATCATCTGGTTGTGCAGAATGTGATGAAAATCTCATTATTGAAACCTTCTCGTCAATACCTTCGTGAAGAATTTGAAGATGGCTGCGAACAAATTGTTCAACCTCTAATTATTCAAATTAATTACAATTAGCAGTGTACTGCGTCCAGAATTTTCATTTCCTTCCAGCAGCTTGTCAATAAACATCCTAATGGATTGCCTGGGTCACTTGTTCCAATCTTCATCTCTCCATTTCGTCAGTTCCTCTATTTTACTTTGCTAGTATCGACTAATGCTCTGCTGACCAACATCGTCTACCATCGCTCTTCTTATGCATGGTAACCCAATTTAGCTAAATTCATTTGTTTCCTCAAGCTTTCACTTACTGTCTTAAGTGCCGCTGGCTGTTGTCTTTACAAGGTTTTGGCATAGATCTTCTTTGCCACTGGCAAGCCCTTGCTTGCCCTTGGCAACGGTTAATTTTTCTGCTTTGACGGCAAAACGACCTCTTCCTGGCTGTCATTTTACATATAGTTCTGCAACTGTTCTTCATTGCTAAATTGCTGCCAACTGAAAGCAGTGCATCAGCAGCAACAACAGATTGAATAATCAGTCGTCATATGGCAACTCGCAGACCTATGAGGCACTCGAGTCAAACAACGTGGGCGTACCTCTTGCCTGTTCTGGAATGACCTCATCATGTTGTTTCTGTTGCTCGCAAGCCAATGATTTTCCACCAGATACTGGGCTTTTGTACTGAAGCAAGTACGTGGCAAAATCCTTACTCACGGGAGCATGCGGCTAAGGCAAAGATTGTCCCTCCTACGCAATCGAACCGTGTCCTTCGCTGCTGCACTGTCCCTCTACCTCAAATCGGTTGTACATCGAGACTGGCGTTCTACGGTTTTTTCAGATGTTTCATCTGCACGCCTTCTCCAAATTTTCATGAAATTCCGGTTACAAGCTTTTCTTGCATCCATGACAGCAAGCTCACACGCGCCAGTCATTTCACAGGTTATATATGTGCTTGACGCAGCAAGCTCGTTCTCCGGTTTGACACTTGTTTACATACAGTATGACAATAAGCATAGGACAAGAGCCATGCGTCGTCTATTGCTGAGTTGCTTCTAATGACGTTGCTGTCATGCTGCTCAGACACCCTGCTTTAACGTAGACAACACGTAGCTTGCAAGTTCGCATGTGACGAATTAATGCTGACCATCAGCATACTCGGGCGTAGTCTATTCCTTAGGATATTTTTGTTTGATATACAAAAAGAATTCACAGATGAAATGAATGCACTTATATTCTCAGTTGATAGTTTACCTCCTTTACGATCAGAATTGCTGGCGATACTTATGAGTTATAGAATGCGGAGTAACTATGCTGACCGACTAGCTGATTCCTCCATCGAAAAGAACTAATCACCCTACTGACCTGCTTGTGAAGTACTGAATCCTGGATGCGATAAATCATATGAAGTGATAGTGATCGAATCTTTCCTATAATTAGTACATGTTTGTCATCTTCTCGTGAACTGATATGAAAAAGTTTTGTTTGCCTAAGCAGTGTTGAACGTCAATAGACCAAAATGGCAGAAAACTTTTGTCAAGGCGATTTTTCGCATGGAACCTTCATCAATTTAAAGGCGGCATGATGACCAATAGAAATCTGAAGGTGCTCCAAATAAAAACTTGTCGACTACAACAACAATGACCTTGTTACGCTATTCGAAAATACATAACATATGGTGGAAACCGGCAACCCCCCTCTTTCCCTGAATTGAGGCTTAACATGTACTAACGGTAATGTCGATTAATAAAGCGTTGAAGCTGTGCACGGATATAAAGTACATAATATAGCCATCGCCCTGGTGGTAGCGATCTCCAGGCTGTCTGAAGAAGACGTGATTTCAGCAGCTGCCTGGGCAGTCACTCTGTAGCGACGAATCGAATGCCTGGTTCATGTCGCGCAGGTTTCGCGTTCTATGCGTTGAACTGTACTGTGCAGACAACTGTTACTCGTTATGCAGGAGTTCACTGTTGAATGGTGAGGATGGCAGGGAAAGACAACAGTCGTCAAGGAATTCACTGATTACGACTTAAGGCTGTCAAACAACAACAAGATGATTGGTCCAACAATCATTCCTATTATAGCAGCGGCTGAAACCTGGAACGAAGCCGTGCGGACAACAGCATCAAACATAAACAACTGAGGCTAGAGCCTCCAAAACCAATGAGTTGGTTATTTACCTTTCGAATCCATGAAAATTGAGGGAATCCGGCCAACGACGTCGGCGCCGTGAGCGAGGCTGCATGACGGCAAGGGCAGCGGCTTCCACAGATTCGCATTGCGTCGCCTGGTGCTCGCCTGGTATCGACGTTGCGAGACGCACAGCGACGTCTTGCTAGAGCGGTGAGTGGTAGGGGCTGAAAAGCATATGCATGCTGAAACAGTCATGGAAACGGCGCTAAGCCGGAACGTCTGTGAGGGCCATTCGACTCACCGACGAAAATCAAGTCCTCTTCTTCCTCGTCCGGGTTCTTCTCCCATGGGAATATTGCCGGCATCGAACTGCAACGAGTGAGCGTCCTTCGTGGCAGCCGAAATTTGGCGCATTTCTTCTCGTGTCTAAATGGCCGAGCCCAATTCAGTTCGGTGGACGAATGTCAATGGCTGTTGAAACAATGTCAGTCGATAACATTTATCACTGCTGACATGCAATTAAGTAAAAACATTGGCAAACAAACCTCAACGCGGACAATAACTGAAACCGTTAATGCAGGCTGCTTTGTCACCAAAAAATAACCGCTTCTTCAATCTAGCCGGTTCAGGGAGGAAAAAGAGGGGAGTGGGGTCATTAGCGCTGAAGAAATAGCCTTATATTTGTGTTTCAGCGATTGGACTTTGAATCCGTCTGTCCGGCATGAAATTTTAATTTCGACTGCGCATTTATTTATGGGTAAATTTTTGTTCACTGTGCTTTGGCGCAATCAAACTAAGAAGTGGGTAGCAAGTCGTTTGGAAAGCACATGAATAGCAAGGCATATCCCAGTGGTGTAGATGGAGCAATAAGGAGAGGCAAAGAACCTCTACCTCAATGCTATGAAGTTTCCAAATAACTCCATTACTTAAACTTGGACCTAGTGGTCGAAGTACACTTTCTTGCCGTAGCGTTTCAATATCATAATTCTCATTGTTTTATGGCCCAAGAGAGAGAAAATTACGGACTAATTAGGTATAAGTCTAGGTAAATATTTCTGTTTTCCTTGTGGAGGTTCTAAGCAGCCTTCTGAACACAGCCTAGTTCAACCTTTTCATTCAAAGTTTGTAGCCGTCAGATTAGTGATTTGACAAGTCGAATGGCAGTCGTTCGAGATATGGTCATGTAGCTGGATTTTCGAGCATATCCGCAGAGTTCCTTTGGTGCAGAATTATCCTTATGCATCGAAACCTCGTGTAGGCTCTCAGTTAGTGACCAATGTCCACTTTATGGGCAGGCAATGATCATCATACTTTGATGCTCAGCAATACTCATGTCTCGCTGTCAATGAAAATATTTTGATCGCGTCTCGGCTACAAGTGACCTACCTATACGTTTGTCCAAATGTGCTTAAGAAACAGCCAATTTAAGAACTATGCCTTAACTTGCATCAACGTGCCCACACTGTAGAGGCCAAAACGTGGCCAGGCAGGATTCAACGATTATGTGAAATTAAAATTTGAAACAGAGTTCAAAATGAACCACGAAGTCGAGGGGTGGGGGGAGGGGACCGGCCGAAAATCTGATTCTTGCATTCATCGTCCAGTAGAGCATCTTGCATGCATTGGGCAAAACAGTTTGCCGCTCAAACTAAAAAACTCGTCAGCGACTTGTTGCACTTGAACTAAAGTTGGACGACCAAAGTTTTTCTCTCTCCGCTTGCTTCTTCGGCCCCATAGACATGGAAATCTGAGTCAAAAGAGTTCTGTGAGAAAATTATGTATATTCAGCAAAATATTCCTTTCGACTCGCCGCCGAAATGTTTGGCGAAACCTTGCTTTATTTGGCTGATCGATTTCTATGAAAAATCTATGCTAAGCTTGATTTTAACGAAACCCGCTTGTTGAAGTGCTACTCACACATCTGAATCATTCAGCACATCGATTATTGTGCTTCTCTTTCATGGCAAACAGCTCCTCTCAATTTATCAGCATGACCGTGTGGTTCGCAGCTGCACGAAGTCAACGGGTATTCTACGAATATGGAAGAAATGAGAGGAGGAAAGTTTGTAACCAGAGCAACGTCGATCCTCCTTGCACTTTTGTGATTGAGCCGTTTTCGTAGCATCATTTTCACGAGGTTAACGAGGGAGCTCCAATTTCCGGTCACATGTCATAAGCGAGGAGTCCCTTAGTGTAAAAGCTGAGTCGGCAGCAGCTGTGTGAGAAGGATAGCGCGTAGTTTTATGACCACCATTTTCACGGAATGCCACTCATTTATCAGTCTCACAATGAAGAAAGGCGAGTGACCCTGATCTGAGCTCGATTCCGAGACCTCTTGGTTCTTATTCTGACGCTCCAGCGGCTGAGCAACCCTAGTCTGAATCAAGGTACTGTAAATTCCTTGCTCGAAGAAATTCGTAGCCAGCAGCTCCGGAGTTCGAAGCCGAACTGTTAGGTACTGTACCACTGATTTTCAGACTGCACGACAGAATCTTATGGATTTCTGCACGTAGCTAGGCCTCAAACTCTTGCAGCGATGCAACACTATAAACTGGCAGGAAACTGCTCTCCTGGAATATCCTGGAGTTGTTTAACCATTCGTTCATTTAATGATGCAGTTGATCAATAAGTCAGTCATTCTTTCGTTCTTTCATTCCTTCATTCTTTCTCTCGTTAATTAGTTCATTTAGTCGTTCCTTCCTTCATTTCATTATTCGTCCATCGATTAATCGATTCATTCATTCACTCATTAATTATTAATAATCGATTATAACATCTCGTTTTCACATTCTTCCACTCATTGATTCATTCATTCGCTTGTCCGTTTATTCATTTGTTAATTCATTCGTTGGTTTATTGATTTGCTTATGCTATTCACTGTGTACAATCCAGCGCTTTATTCGTCGCTGCAAGCCTGTGTAGCCACTTCATTGCCGCCATCGTCTGGCTGATCTCTCTCTGTGTGTTTTCGCGCTCTTTACTTAACGAAATCCCTCTCCGTGATTAACGTTGCCTCTCTGCGTTGTTTCAAATGCACAACAGCTGATGGATGCCGTGCTGTAGAAACGTCTAATTGCGGAAGTGAACCGTTTGTTCGTACCCTCCTTTGTGTTTGAACCTACCTCATTTCGTTACTCATTTTGTGACATTTACAACTGGTGTTTATTCGGTCAAACATTTCCTCTGTAAGAAGTAAAACTTGGGAAGAAGAACTGCAACTGATCAGCTCAAGCGTAGGTTCAACTGCGTCCATCAGCACTGGTTGTGACCAGTGTGACCAGTGTGCTGAAGATAAACCAGTGTGAAAACCGAACCAGGAACGACTACATCTTGGAGTTGGTTGAACTCATAGGCATATTGTTGTCTTGATTCAATCATAAGCGCGTAAGCGACCAAACCTCACTGGCTGAGGTATGGACGACAAGAGACCCTTACCCAGCATTTCAGACGGAAAAGATGACTTAGTGGAGACTGATGCCGTCGATTGGAATTCTGTCCTTCTTCGATGCAGCACTGAAGCAGCTCCTGATGTAAAGTTGCGAAACAGTAAGACGAACGTACGTCACATGTTTTGAGCTGTTTGCGGGTTTATAAGAGAACCAAAGTGGACGATGCTGCAAAGCAACCAACCGAAACGTGGACCGTGCACCGTGGCTCAGTTGCAACCTCTCGTTCTTCCTCTCACATTGCATCGAAGACGATGCCTGTGCTGCAAGTTACAACTAAGACATATCTTCAATGAGCCAGAAAATGAATGAACACAGATGACAGACAGATGCTTTGCTTGTCCAGTGCGAAAGCCGTACAAAATATACTTTTCGCATTATCCTTCCGGCCTGTTTTCGTCACGTATTCTTCCGAAGTTATTAAACTTTGAAATTAATGTTGTAAATAAACTGTTTGTTATCAACGTTTGTATTGCGCAAGGATTTTATAAATACCTTTTGTCGGTTCTAGTTTCAGTGATATCCCATTAACGCGCATATAAATCTTTTAAGACGTAAATTTTCCTGTCCAGTTGAATTTGCAACTTTAACGCTTGGTCGATAAATCGTCGGCGTACGACTTTTTGTAAGTGCATGAATAAAAATGCCCAGATCTGCATCTTTTGCAAGCTCTGCGAATAAATTGGAACTGCTTAATTTAGAACAACACAGAGATTTGCCGATGTCATCCGTCAATTTTAAATAAACAAATAAATAAGGCGATGCTACGATGAATTGGCACTCGCACAAGCATAATTTGTGATGCATATGTTGACGCCGGCATGAATATTCAATCCATATGTGTTTTACCGTCGTGTTGCTATCTATACCTGAACAAAGAACAAAAGCAACTTCATCATATACACAACCCAAACAAACAGCCCTTGTATACTCCAGTGCCATGTTATGACCTACCACGTGACACACTAACGATTTTTCATTTAGTATGATAATCCGTCCTTATACTTTGCTTAACATGGTCAGATTATAAATTTTATCTTTCATGAATGATTTTAGCCTATCCAAAAAGGTTCGTTCATTAAATGTCTTGAAAAGAGGCTATGTCAACTTCCGTTGAGACTGATGTGAATTTTGAACAATATTTGCTCCAAATTTCCTCAGTTGTAACTCCTCTAAGGACGTTTATGATACACCATGGTCTTTGCCTTCTAGTCTTATATGTTTTTCATCACTTTGGCATTCGTTAGGTCTAGCCTATGTGATAACCCTGTTTCATATAGGGAAAGATAGCGTGGCGAATAGGTTTTATGATACATTCTTAGGCAAAAGCTACTATGCTAGCCTCAACTGTGTCCTGGATGATAATGAAATATTTTGAAACATACATGTATTATTTTCTGGGCTGAGAGCGCCAACAAAAAATAGTTTTTCGACGCTTGAGATACCGTATTAAATATTATGATCACACAAAATCTCGTCTTCCTTTCATGAGTCGATTTCCTTCCTTTTCCTGCAACTTTCCTTGACGATTATGGACTGTATACTGTTTCTGCAGATCAAATCAGGAATATGAAACAAATTTACATAGATTTGTATAGGTGTCTATCAATGAAACACAGAAATTAGTTTTCTGTTTTTTTAAGAAATATCCTATTCAATACTATAAATTTATAATCATCCTTTCGATGAAACGTTCCTGAAATCGCTCCATTATCATGGCAGCAAGTCCTGTTTCAATATTGCCTGCAAAGCATGCATAAAATGTTCTTTACACTCGTCCAACAGTGCACCGCTTTGCTCATTTGCTTTCATAATCGTTGTTCAACAACTAGGAAACCGAGCTATGGGCGGGGGGGGGCATAAATAAGCTGTCTATAGCACAAGCCTGCGGATGTACAGGGTGCCGCTATCTAAGTATC